TTGCATATATTCCTCTTGGACATTTATTTTAAAATAGTATCATGTATGCGTCATTATCAGTAAATCTATTATATACATATCATGGTGCATGTCAGTGTACAGTTGAACTAACATTTTATTTACAATCAAACAGACCTTGAAATCTTTTTATATACTGACAAGCATCACTAACTGATGCCAGAACTTTCCATATCATTACTATGGTGAAGAAGTCTCTACTTACACATAATCTTCATTAACAGTAACTTATATGCTGTTTCATTCTTAACTCATTTAAAACTATATCAATAAGTTTAATACTGAGGCGATTTTTTTTCTCTCAGAATCTAATGAACTTTTAACAATACCCATTACTTGAATGTATGGCTTACCTTTAAATAACAAGTTTGTTATTGCTTGTCTAACATGTCTTAAAGATTTCTTCCACATTACCTGACTTCTAACTGAAAGGTGCTCTGGGTTGGTAATATTGTTTAAAGAATGAATGAATCTGCATTGACATAATGCACCTTTTAAAGACCATAATCATATTTACATTTGACCAAAATCTTTACATCCAAAATCAAAATACATTGAATTTGTATACCATATTTTGATTAGCATATTTGTAGGAACATGGTTATGGAATGTGTATTCAAATATTAGACTGCATCAAAATAAAGTATCTATGTAATAATGTGTTTTCTTTTTTCTTCCTTTTTGAGCAACATTATTGTTGAATGTATAATATACAATCCTTCAAGCTTCCAACTTAGAACAGAATTTTCATTCTCATTTACACTTCCATAAAATTTGCAGCATACCTTCATATAATGCATTACTTGGTAAAGACTGAATATCAAGAAAACAAAACTATGTATGTGAAGCATAAACTTTTCAAAATATCTTTAGTATTTAATGAGAAATATATGATGAAATGTAAATTATTGTGCATATAACACATTCAGAAAAGACCAGGACAGTATCACACTAGATTACAAATTTCAACAAAAGAAAAAATGATACATGAATGGCACTGACCTAAAGATATAAAGGAAAATACATGTCATAATATACTGAACTTAATAATATGATCAACAGCAGCCTCTACACCTTATCCCTACTTCACATGAGATTTTTTCCTAGATTGCAAAGGTTAATCTAAAATCTGACATTTGCACTTGTAAAGTCGGGTGCATTATGATAAGCAGTTTGTATACTTTGCATAGTTCATACCAGCCTTCCACTTTATGTCATTGATGATACTGCTACCACAAACTGCTCATGTAATAAAGGACTTTTATGGGTAAGTCTTCCTCTCAGCAGTAAAGGTAATACATTTTTTCCATGTGTATATGCTTCCAGAAGCTGATGAAGATGGTAGCATTGCACAACTTAAAAATGGGTGAAAAGCTCTGAATGAAAAGGGTAGCAGATACAATTGCAATGCTTTCTTCTTCAATTTTGTCTTGTACTTTTTCTTAAGCAAGCAGTGGAAAAGAAAACTAGTTAGCCTTAAGTATTTTTGAATTAGCTATAAATGACACAAGCTGGTTTTGGATATATATTATATGTAAAATGCAAAAAACTAAACTTCATCTCACCATTCCACACAATCTAGAACAAAAGACTTTTCTTCATTCCTCTTTTCCTTCCTCCAAATCCAGTAAAAAGAATGTTCCCAATTGTTACACAAAACATCCAATTTTCCTTAAATAAAAAATAAAAATAATAACAATAAGATAATAATAATTATTATTATAATACTAGAAAAGTAACTGACATTGCAAATACACCTCAGACTGTAAACAGCAACAAAATATGATCTGCCCCTTCTATCCACTACCATTATTATGCTTTTCAATATCTCCACTGGTCACAGAATACAAAATGAAAAATACAAATCTCTACTAATGCTGAATTCATTTCAATAGTATCACCATTGCATATTATGATCACAGGAGCAAACAGTATGCTGTGGCTATCTAAATCTAAGGTTATCATAGAGCATGTTATTGTGGTCTCTAAACGAAAAAGAAAAGAATCTCGATTGGAAACTGGCGGATTTATAGGTCACATAGTTTTACTTCTCCATTTTCCATGTACAAACGAGGCACTTCCAAGATTTGTTTAACAATCAAGGACATTGCGGATCTACGGAAAGATTATATTTTTATGTGGACAAGGTAGATAACATGTAAAGATCAATAGCCTGTTGGGGCTCAAAGCTAAGTATATCCTGATGTCCTTGAAACAGTAACTATGAAACTCAATATTATGCCGCATCCAAAACTTCCATAAATGCAGTGATGATTCCTCCCCTGTTTACTCTTTTGGAAAGTTCATGAAATTTACACAGCCACCAGTGACAAAGCCACAAAAGGACTCTGTATATGGAAGTACTGAATTTGTGTAAAATCATTTCATTTGTAATTTCTAAATTATGCAGTTGGAGAATAAATAAAAGGGGACGGACTGAATAATCTTTTATTTACACTGTGTATTCCACCGTTCTGATGTTGATACTTGTCAGTTAAGCACCAACACCATCTAATTTTTGATTCTAAATTCATCAGTCTTATTCTATTGATTATGTTTGACTTCAATTTCTTTATTTTCTTGTCAAAGTAGAAGATTTGGCAGAAAAGGAGTTATCCTTTCAACGCTTAACCAGAAATGAGTTGATGACCTGAATGCAAGCAAAATATTTTGTACCTATTGGGTTTCAATCTTTTTCCATCTTAATGCTGCCATCAGTCCTTTCTGATTATTTCCATGTATTTAATGCATAATAAATCATCAATATATTTGGATGGCAAACCTTTGAAGGATACTATGCAAAAAGGCACTGCTTTCAAAGGATTTTTTTTTTCTTTTGATGAGGGGTGTGTATATGGAAAGAGAATTCTATCGCATTTGGCTGATTTTAATATTGGACATCAAGAAATTAATTTAGTTTCAAGCCCCAATACAAGTTCTGTAAACTCATTTTGCTTTGATATCCCTGTCTGTTTTCAAAAATTGAACTGCACTTGACTAGCTGCTTACAAATCCTAGTCTTATTGATCATTACCTATATATGCACTATCATTACTGAACTGTTTAGAAACAAAAGAATCATGCATGGCAGGTAAAATCAGAAAAAATCTGAATGAATACTAAACTAATCTATGTTTGTCTTTTTATGATACAGCACAGGTTTTAAGAAACAATATTTGTTTAACAAAGATATAAAAACCTGAAACAGACAAAAGAAAACAAAATCTTTCTTGTAGACAGAAGAAAAAAAATATGTTCATATACTGTTTCTATTAAAATGAAACAATATTTACAAATAATTCAAATGTACAAAGAGGTGATATATAAAATATGTTAAATATACATTCTCCAAGTAGGTTTGGTTCAGACTAGGTCATCACTGATACATGGATGTGCTCCTCAGGCTCCCTCCACAAACATCACCATATTTTTGTTTTGTTTTTTCTTTAAATATAAGTTCAACATTCCTTTTGGCTCTAGACATAACCATAAATGATATATATATTGGTACTCCAGTAATGAGTTGTGACAACTGAACATGCTAAATAAGGGAGCTACATTCTCCCGCTTTCAAAATGACAATGTAACCTTTCCATTTTTATAGATTCCATGTCCATTTGAATAAGCACATCCTGTCACAGCACACTCCTGATGCATGTTGTATCCTTCCCTGCACATAACTCACTTGCCTGGAGTTGGGAGATAGTACTATACTAAAAAAAAAATATATATCAATCAGTCTGAGAACTGGATATGGCTTAAGATTCCCTTCTGTAGCTCATGATAAGGAGCTTTCATTCTGGCAGTACCTAAGGCCAAAAGTATATTCTCTGAAAGGCAATGCTATATCCCTGCAGGTAGTACAACACTGCAAGCACAGCATTTTACCTTATGCACACACATACGCACATACACACATATTATTGGTCAACAATATGCATTATGTCACCCTGGTATAACATAAGACACACTACAGTTTCAAAGATATGAAGCCTAAGTTAATACATCCACTTCATATCTACTAAATTATGAATGTTTCTCTTAGATTTACACATCTGTGTTTCTCTGGGCTAGAAGTCGAGGAGGAGGAGGTTTATCATCTACTGCTTCTACGTAGTTTTCAGGAACAAGACCAGTGCGGCCATTGAGGGTTCCTTCTAGCCAGCCTGGTTCTCGGGATGGCCGAACTGCAAGAAGAAAAGGGGGAACTTTGAATAAAATAAATTCCTTCTACAATTTTAATTAATTTGGTAAAGCAATTAAAAGAAAGTCAGTCAGTCTCCTAGTCACTCTTTCTCTCTTGCTTCTCTTTCTCTTAATATCAATCTAAAGAAAATTAATTTATGCATCTCCATTATGCATCTCTGTGTTATCATTCTCTATTTCCTGTATACTAATTGTTGTATTTTAGGACTTCAAAAATAGATGCTCTATTGAACATTATACTTAACATTGGGGTTGGATCCTTTAAAGCTTAAATGCCACTCACAACCTCATATAACCACTCTCCTAATAAATTGCCCATAAGTTTAGCTTGCATCTATCCTTTTAACATGAAAATTTTGGATAATTCTTAAGAAAAAATAAATAAACATTAGCTGTATACATAAATGCCATGACAGAGCATTTTTTTAAGATACCTGGATTTTTAGTGTTTACTTTATGATGTAAATATGTATTTGCAATACTTACCATTGCATAAGATTTGATTGGGCTCAAAGGAAAGCTCAGACTCATTTTCTCCTACACATGCATACAGCGTTCTCACACGTCTGGAAGAGTAATGGCTATTAGTTTTATCCTATGTGCTTTTTCATCCTCACTCATGCAATTCTCATTTGTACAGTCTGCACTTTTCACATGGTACAAGTCAATCAAAAGAAAGTGCTATGGTATTTCACAAGGATTAATTTAAGCAATATATTTCACATTGGAAAAGAATTTGTACTTCAAATTTCATATATTTCACTAACATACCATACTCAAATTCACTGTTTCAGCCACCTTGCGCCATAATCTTTTACCTTGGAGGAGAACTGGCTGTCCCATTCGAAGTAGCAGAAGGCGGTGGAGAAGAGCTGGTCGGGGCCAGAAGACTTGATGTGGACTGCGACCCGCTGATCGAATTCCTGAGTACGGGGAAAAGAGATATTATGCATGCCTAAGTGTATGGAAAAAATAATCCACTACTGGAATGACGATACAAAATATAATATATTCTATAAAATGAATGACAAGCATGAAATTTTACCTAAAATACAGTACTGTACATACTTTCATTCATCCTTGTCTATGAGGACATGTGGATAGTGTTCAGTTTAATCACTACTTCAGATCACAAAAAATGAATAGCACAAAAAAAAAAATAACAAGACAATTTCTTAACACTTGTATACAGCTATTATATAGAATGCACTTTCTAAAATATTGCCAATAAAATACTTGAAAAGTTACTTGGATTCACAGTCTGAGGCATGCGAACAGCAAGTCATTCACATACAATAGCATAGCAGTTTTAATAAGGCTTTAAAGGATCAACTGAATTTTTTTCTCTATATTTCAGTGATCAAGTTGTGTAAAAGATTTATGTTCATTAAACCTGAAGCTTTCATGCAAAAGCCCCAGCAGGGAAGAACAGGTGAAAATCTAGCTTATGGCTTCTGATACTAGCAATTGGATGCACTTTAAAAGTAACAAGAAAATAAACTACTCATTTTTTGTACTTGAATATTCTCCCAACTGAGTCACCTATTTTTATTTGTGGCATCAGAAGTTATCTAATCATCTCTAAAAGAAAATCTCAAGCGTCCAGATTTACAAGACTAGCATCTCTAACTGATCCTTATTCTAGCTATTCAAACATAAAAACATCAACAAATACTGGAAAGCACTATACAATTTCTATACAATTCTCATAAAGACAAGTCTATGATTCACCAACACTAATGCTTAGAGTAAAGAATGTAACAAGAGTAAACAGCTAAACAAACAGGAGCTATCTATTGCACTGCTATACCTAATAGTATTTACTTTTCAAAGAGCCAAGTCTCTCCTTTTGGACCACAGACTACAGGCCAACTGCATTAAAAACAGTTCAGCCAATCAGATCCAAAGCAAAAATCCAGACTCCAATCCAAAGAATTATAAAACACCTTGGAAATCACAAGTTGCAACTCTGATATCGCTAGTTGCACATACAAGTCAAAAAGAGACGATTGGTTTAGTTGAAGGTTGAGGCTATGCACCACCACATGCTAGAGTGAGTGACTACACTTACATAGATGAGTAGAGGTACTCCAGAGATTGTCTCTTGCACAGACTAGTGGGCATAATGGGGGAATGAGAGCATACCATTATTAAGGGGGGGAAAATCTGTAAAATCTACTGGTATTTTCTGGTTAAATGTAATAATAATAATACATGTTTATGTACATTTCCAAATCTCTGACTTTAGCATGTAAAATACATCCTCGATTATTTGTTCACACTAGTTAACATGAGAAAAATATCAGATAATTATTTCAGGTAATGATACTCTAGCTCCATTGATTATGAAAGTTTCATGTAAATGCCATGCATAATTTGATAAATAGGCCATCTGTTAACAAAAGAAAGCAGCCGTGTGCTATGTTACTTTCTATGCATGAGTAGATCCAAGTTAGGTTTTGTTTTCACAATGATTTTGCTTTCTATCAATATAATTATGAGTCAAGAGAACAAAACTACTTTATTCATATTGTATTAACATATGTCTGTCCATCCTTTATTTTCTAAATACTTTTGATGACTGTCTAAATATTTAGTTAAATCAAAATACCACCACCCTCTCTCAAAATTAAGTCAAATATTCGAGGATGTACAGCAATATGTACAGGCTTTTGTAAATCGGCAGTGGTAATTATATATAGTCTTCAAAGACAAGGATACTGGGGAAATCAAAGATATATTCAAACCTAACCAGGACCAATGGTAAAAAAAGAACTAGGTCATTAGATTGAAAATTCAATCTTAAGGAAAAAAAGATTCTTTCAAAAACTTCAAAAAATCAATTATTATGTGTTCATTATCTTTTCTTAATTATACAAACATTAATCAGCTCTGTGTACTTACGTTTCCATGTGTTGCCGGTACGTGGGCGGGTACGCTGTCCCCAGTCGTGCACCTGAAAGTGGTACATACCAAGCTATTTTCATTTATTAGGTACCTTCTACTCTACACAGAAAATACTGGCAAATAGCTCACTTTGCAAAGTACAGTTTTTAAGGAGACAAACACCCATGCAGCTTCTGGTGCTTTTAACAAAAAACATCAACATTCAGACAAAAAGTTATACAATAAATAAACAAGTAAAAAACATGTGCAAAAAGTCTAAAATTAAATAAGCTTATTTCATCCCATTACTTGACTTTTATCTTACTGTCCATATACAACTCTAAACTGAAAATCAATACTACAGTATATTTAAAGGAGTGGTACTCTTGAAAACAACAGGTATTATCATTCTAAAAAAGTTACTCTTGCTTTATCAGAGACCAATATTAACAAAATCTCAATTATCATATTTATCAATCTATTCTATGAATGGAAAAATGTGGGAGATTTCAAATTACAAGACACCACATGAGTTTTAGAGGATATAAGAAGACTTGAAAAGTGCCCTTCCAACAGAGTAGAGAAAAGGGAAAGAATGATATGGTATTTTTTTTTTTTTAGGGTGGGGAGGGGGAGGGATATAGTGAAGAACAGAAAAAAAGCATGTGTGAAAAGATACAAAATAGAATTCTGATAGTTCTGTGAGATGGTTATGAGAAGTATGAAACAAGCATGAGAGAGAGATACGTGGGGAAAAATAGAGATCATAAAAACAAAGACTAGTGACCAAACACAATCTGCCTGGTTGTAAAATATATCAAGATGGTGATGAGGCATTTAAGAATGAATGAGGACTCCATGACACGAGGGATAAAGATGAAAAAGACACGGTACAGAGGTACAAAAAGGATGACAAAAGATATACTGGGGAAGCAGTATGTATTTTTTATGAAGCAAGGTAGATGGCAGCAGAGCTTATATGCAAGATGAAATGATTCAGAATGAATAGGGTGCATAATAATAGAGGAACATATTACAATAGTACAAATTAAAATGTTCATTAAAATCTAAAAAAAAAAAAAAAAAATACATGCTGCACTAGACAACACATTCAGTTTATGACCTTTATCAACATGCAGATTAGGAAATTATATCAACATAACATGCAACAAACAACACACATAATACTCAAACTCTACAGATAAAATGCATATACCAAGCTTAAAGCAAAAGCACAAATTAAATCAGACAAAGACACAGAAATAAATAAATACTCATACTTACTTTGGATGCAAACAATTATAAACTTAGTGTAATAGTATGTTAATAAATACAGGCTTCCTACCAATTTTCTGACAACCTCTGTCCCCAAAATAAGCTCTATATCATATGCTTTTGCTGGACCAGCAGAGGTTTTGTATTAATAATTCTATAACATTCCTCTGACCCTCCAGAAGTTCCTGTATTTCTACAGCACCAGCAGTAATCAGAAAATCAGTAGTACACCTGTCTATGGCCTTACTTCTTTAATCACACAAACTTCATAAGAGAACTCCATGATAAGTGTCAGGTAGGAATTTACCACAACCTATAAAATGTCCTAAAGAACTACTACAAAATACTATAAGAGTATAAATAAAAGATGCACTGTATAGTGATCTCTGACGAATGCACAAGATAGCAAACATACATGAATATATTAGTTTTCACTACCACTAAAGTCACATGTGAAAAAATCCATTCAACAGGAAACTCAAAAAATGTATACTTGACTTCACTTCAAAATAAAGAGAATGAAAATTAAAGAGTACTTCTTTTGAAGTTCATACTCTTACTGCCATGTGCTTTTCTTTTACAATGGATAAGACTGGTTTAGACTAATTTTGGTTTAGTAAGAAATGGCCGTGAAAGGGAAAGGGGAAAGGGGAAAGGGGAAAGGGGAAAGGGGAAAGGGGAAAGGGGAAAGGGGAAAGGGGAAAGGGGAAAGGGGAAAGGGGAAAGGGGAAAGGGGAAAGGGGAAAGGGGAAAGGAGAAAGGGAAAGGGAAAGGGAAAGGGAAAGGGAAAGGGAAAGGGAAAGGGAAAGGGAAAGGGAAAGGGAAAGGGAAAGGGGAAAGGGGAAAGGGGAAAGGGGAAAGGGGAAATGGAAGGGGAAGGGGAAGGGGAAGGGGAAGGGGAAGGGGAAGGGGAAGGGGAAGGGAAGGGAAGGGAAGGGAAGGGAAGGGAAGGGAAGGGAAGGGAAGGGAAGGGAAGGGAAGGGAAGGGAAGGGAAGGGAAGGGAAAGGAAAGGAAAGGAAAGGAAAGGAAAGGAAAGAGAAAAAGGGGAACAGAAGGGGAGGGAAGGGAAGGTCATGAGAGGGATGCTGAATATAGAATAGCTAGAGTATAATTAACCCATTGCCGCCAGGGAAAATGAACAAAAAATGGGGAAAATGCTGTGCCTATTTTTCATATTTTTTTGTGAAATGCATGCCCATAGATGGCTCAGTTAGTGCCTGATTTAAAATGCCGGGAAAAACTTGTATTTTTCACTAGTGCCATGAATATCGATGGTGTTATTTTTATTATAAACATTATAATTATTATGATGTTTTTTAACATTAGTAACAGCAAAATAAAATAATGTGAAATATTTTGTAAATCAAAGAAAAGGGTGAACGGGTGAGACAAGCTGTACTCATAACTGGCTCATTGGTGATTTAGTACAAGTGTAGCCATCTATGTGTGAAAACAATCAAACAAGTAATCTCACAGTGGGCATGACATGCCCGTCGGGAATGGGTTAAGTTAGTAATATAAGGGGGGCTAAGGTGTTAGTCTGCTATTGCCTAATAAGACTTTAGGCTCTCTTGGGCTTGGTAGTGGGGACCAGTGATATGTATCTGCCTTGCTCCATCAGACAAAAAATGACCAAGAAAGGGAATGAGCAACACGCTCATGATGTCACATCATCAATGAAAATATATTATATTAGTGATCATGTTTCTTTACTAAGATAATGAAATAAAGAAAAAAAATTGGTTTCCTGGAGCAGTTCACAAAATAAAATATGTAGCTTCTCATATCATTTGGGAAAACATTTTGTGACAAGTAATTTATCTTGGCAAGCTATATTGTAAGTGATTCTGTGTACCATATAATACATTGTAAATGATATAAGCAATAATGTAGTTTATGCATAATCTAAAAGAGAAACTTTCAAGGCCATGTTTACCTTTTCCTCCTGATGGATTAGTGAGTCTTTCGAAAAGGCATCAAAAATAATAAATAATAAAAATAAATTATCATGTTGATCTACTGCATACTTTGTGAAGACAGGTTTACTTTTCTCACATCTGTTTCTGGTATTGGTCAGTTATTTGTCTACCATATTCATTTTGAAAAATATGAACCAACTATAGAAACCAAAAAAAATCAGTGGTTAATATAATAAAATAAAAATAGACATTAGTTAACAAAAAACAAGTTTAACACACAATCAAAACAGTCAAAGCAATACTACAATATTAATATAAAGCCATGCAACAGCAGTCAAGCAGTTGTTGTAAAAGTTACAAGTGCACAGAATATGGTATCGATGAACTATTGCATCAGACTCCGCTATCTTGTACATCCTATGAACAGTATTTTACAACAGTAAACTGCACTAATAGAGTGATAACTTCAAAATGGACAACTATAATTCTCTTTTATTTCTACAACAAAAAAATGAACTACATTTTTCACATCTATGAGTGCAGCCATAACTTGACAGAAGCAGCCACCACTTTAGGGTTCCCACTTGTCTCCGTCACAAATGCTGTCATCATGATTGAACCCTAAATTTCACTTGGGGAAATTGGTGTCGAAACTGGTTTGCATCTGGCCATGTTATTTTGTGGGTGTTACTTTATTCTTTAATCTTGCTTTTCAAAATGCTCATTGTACCATAGCTTTTGTTTTTCTTCTATTCTGTGTATGTATATAATCAACATAATAATTAAGCACTCTCAAATTTTAAATTGATTTTCAAAATTGGCAGTCTAAAAATTAGTTAATATATACTTTTATATTATGCCCCAGAACTCATTAATAATATAGTTTATATCATGCTTTAGGACCGATCAATAATATGGTTTATATATCACAGAATTAATGAACACAGAACATTAATAATATGCAATTTCAAAAACTTATCAAACTAAACATTTAAACATGAACTTATAAAAGGGGAAATTTACAACATGCAAAGAAAATTAACAGAGGCTAATAACCTACAGACTAAATCAAAGCAAATCTAAATATATTTGACAGGGTCATAACTTAAAAAAGTAAGGACTAACAAGAACTGTAACAACATCTGTACTGAATAGGATGGGCTGTGTCCACATGTGCTGAAATAATAAGATGGCACAAGTCATGCAATAACCCAATCATTAATGGTGGAATGGTGTTGACTCTGATACAGAATATGATGTTAAGTATAGGGGAAAGCTCTAAGAATTATTTACATGATATGTAACACTGTATATTTATTTTTTTAAAGTGTAGATTGTTGTAGCACAAACTCAATCTTGTGCATTTAATGTGAGGAAACTAGCAACAATATCTTTCTATGTAATGTAAAAAATCTATGCTACACTTATACAAACAAACACACACAAAAATGCATTCACATATATAAACACAGATATATACATACACACACATTACTGCACACCTGTGCATCTTGTCCCTGCAATTGTAACTACATCAAGTGATGAGTGTATGCATATACACAAAAATATACCTAAATACATACATAAATAGATACACACATATACATATACAGTACATATACCTATACATAAACATACGCATACACTTATACATACACATTCACACATACACAAGCATGCAAACACACACACACACATGCAAATGCACACACACATGCATATACACATGAACACACACATGCATATACACATGAACACACACATGCATATGCACATGAACACACACATGGATATGCACATGAACACACACATGAACACTCACACCCACACACTCCACTTCCACTCCACTCCATTTACATTCACACTCACACTCACACTCACAATGACTAACTCTAACTTGTGTGTGCACATATGTGTATGCAATTGTGTGCGTGTGTGCATGTGTGCGTGTGCACATGTGCGCCTGTGTGTGTGTGTGTGTGTGTGTAAACACATGCACATGTTTGTGTGTGAACTCATGTGAGTGCATATGAATGTTTGTGTATGTGTGTGTGAGCATGTGCATGTACACGAATAGAAGTACATGATTGTATATTCATTTAAGTGTGACTGATGTCTCTGTATGCTTTGTATTTCTCTCTTCAGGTACTAAGGAAATAATTCTATTCCAAGATCAGACAGCCAAAGGGAAGGTGGAGGGACAAGTGCGAGCAAAAGCGGCGTGACGTACTGCTGTTGTTAAACGCATAATGGTTTGTCTGCTGCACACGGAGATCTCGGTGAGGGCCATTAGCACCCAGCTTGGGAGGAGCCACGACATGGGGGGGAAACCTCTTACTTGTCTGCGGTGAGGAGGAGAGGGAGCTGGAGGGAGGTTGTGTCAACTCACGGGATGACCGCGATGACAGGGACTCGCTCGAGCTGCTGGTACTCTGAACTCCATCGCTCCGATCTAAGGGATGAGACATAACAAATTCCACATTCTACATATTTCTTTTTTCAAATAATATCTCTTCCATTCGCCTTAAAAATATTATATCAATATTCACGCATAATGTTATTTGCTAGACTGAACTTATGGCAAGAGGTCAACTTCTGAGGTGTTTGGAACAGTAAATTCATTGCCCACTGTGAGTTTAGTTTATCAATTGTTTTTACACATAAATGGCTCCACAAGTGCATAACTACCAAGGAGTCAATTGCTAGTACTACCTATTTCACCTGTTTACCCTTTTCATTGATTTGTGGAAATATCCTTTTCATCTTATATTACTATCAGTAGTAATAACATTAACAATAATGAAAGAAAGAAAGAAAGAAAAAAAAACAAGATTCAAGGAAAGGTCATGAGGTCTAATAATTGACTCCTTGGTGACTAAGTACTTGTGGAGCCATCTATGTGTAGAGACATTGCAGAAAACAAAACTTCTGTAATATCAAATTTTCCCAATGGCACTGGGCTAATAATATTAACTTTGACAACTCATTTACAGTAATCAGGCTTTGCATATAAACATTCTAAGCGAGACGGATTGCATAAAATATGCAACCTGGGTCCTTACCAGACAAAGGGTTCACGAAGGACAGTGCTCTGGCTTGACCGTTCGTGGGAGCAGGAGGCCGCGCTGGTCGATTATTCTGCCCAGTATCATACATACTTCCTACGCCAACGGAAGCTGCTACAGCTGAACTCAGTGAAACAAGTGAACTGTGTGAGTTGAGTCCTGAGTTTAAGCCTGAAAGAAATGTATTTTACAAATATCTGATCTACAAAACTGAAGATTACCTTGAACTCCTTGCAGGAATTTCTAGGTCATGCAGTGCTCAATAACCGCATACAGGTAAATATGAAAGCATACTGTAGTTATTATTTCTACCCTAAAATAGCATTTCTACTTCTCTGCTAAAGGCATATTACCATAACAAGGGAGGCAAAATGCTAATTTATACATTTACATAAATTCTTTGAATGAGAGGGTAGTATAATGCTAATACCAAAAAGTATTGCCAAGAAAAGTTCATGATACATATAAAAAAATTATGGCCCATAATATTCTCAGACCTTGGAAAATTCAACAAAGAACAAACTGTGTACTCATCAGATAGGTAAATAATTACCAAAATTGTAAAATTCCAAATGTAGGTAATGCATTAGGTCAAAATCTAGATTCCATGCTCATCAAAATATGCCAAAACAGGTAATTGGAAGACATAACAGCAAACTCAGCACTAGAGGATGGATCTCTCAGTCAAATTTCCTCTCTTTTTACTTGTGTTTTTTGTAGACAAAACATTACCATCTTCAAGATTTTTGTTGTTCATTACAGTATAAACCAGAAATGAAAGCTATCAAACCAGTTACACTAAGTCATCTTCATATTGTATATCTAACTTATTAATCATGCCATGATCTTGGATATGATTATATATGCATCATCTCAAAACATATGCATTCTATTCAAAAAGCACTGGCTTACATGCAAGGAAACACAAATAATGAAAAAAATATGTAGTCTATTTTCAGTACAGCTGTCTTTGCTTATACCTCATGTGACTATTGAAACATAATTACTGCAAGTGCATTCATAACTACATTCTTCCATATTTTTTGCAGTACTGAATCCAAACTCAATGTAACTTTAATGAATAAAAAGCAGGTGTTACATGACACTAATGATCAATGTGAGATACAGTATGATATGGTATAATATGAATGAAGTTTGTACTAATGCAGATCTGTATAAAAAACACCAAGGTTGGAAAAAAAATGTGGGTTAACAAATCCATAGAATTTCCTAAAAAATGGAGAATAAATTTAAAAAATTAATAATGCATTGTTTTGTACAGCATATGGCAAAATGTCATACTCATACTTAGTTCCTACAGATGAAATTCGATAAATATCAGGGACATGGGCAAGGAATTAAATGAAGTAGTGACATGAGGTACTGTATTATGCATGCAGGGTACTATAAATCAAAAGTGTAGAAGGACAGGCAGATGTGTTTGGATGTGTAGAAATGAAATAGAATGATAAGCATTATGGGATTGGGTGAAACAAAAGAAAAACAGATAAAAGTTTGGAAGGAGCAACAGATTACACCTTTCAAGTCATTAAGGTAAGAGAGTGATATGGTGAAGATATTAGGTGTCTGAAATGATCATCTGATTATGAAATTTCTAATCCAATCAACATTTCCTAAAGATAGAGCAACTCTTGGGCTTGGATTTCCCTAACATAAAGAAAAAGACATTAAATCAAGTTACGAAAAACATACCAGAGTTAAGACTAGACAAAGAAGGTGAGTTGCTCCAGTGATGTGTAGCAGATGGTGGAGGTGGGACATTTGCATATACACTTGGTACATGTGTGTGGAGACCTGACCCAACCCCAGAAGGTGTTGTCTGAGTCTTGAGGTTAGATGACGCATCTGAACGTTGGAGGTGCGGGGGAAGACTTGATGGTGCACCAAAGTGCACTGTCTGGGGTTCACTTGTTGTAAAGGATGTCACAACCTTCTGTCAAACAAAAAGATAGTGTTAAAGTTCTATCTTCATATCTAGAATAAACCAGAAATGAAAGCTATCAAACCAGTTACACTAAGTCATCTTCATATTCTATATCTAACTTATTAATCATGCCATGATCTTGGATATGATTATATATGCATCATCTCAAAACATATGCATTCTATTCAAAAAGCACTGGCTTACATGCAAGGAAACACAAATAATGAAAAAAATATGTAGTCTATTTTCAGTACAGCTGTCTTTGCTTATACCTCATGTGACTATTGAAACATAATTACTGCAAGTGCATTCATAACTACATTCTTCCATATTTTTTGCAGTACTGAATCCAAACTCAATGTAACTTTAATGAATAAAAAGCAGGTGTTACATGACACTAATGATCAATGTGAGATACAGTATGATATGGTATAATATGAATGAAGTTTGTACTAATGCAGATCTGTATAAAAAACACCAAGGTTGGAAAAAAAATGTGGGTTAACAAATCCATAGAACTTCCTAAAAAATGGAGAATAAATTTTAAAAATTAATAATGCATTGTTTTGTACAGCATATGGCAAAATGTCATACTCATACTTAGTTCCTACAGATGAAATTCGATAAATATCAGGGACATGGGCAAGGAATTAAATGAAGTAGTGACATGAGGTACTGTATTATGCATGCAGGGTACTATAAATCAAAAGTGTAGAAGGACAGGCAGATGTGTTTGGATGTGTAGAAATGAAATAGAATGATAAGCATTATGGGATTGGGTGAAACAAAAGAAAAACAGATAAAAGTTTGGAAGGAGCAACAGATTACACCTTTCAAGTCATTAAGGTAAGAGAGTGATATGGTGAAGATATTAGGTGTCTGAAATGATCATTTGATTATGAAATTTCTAATCCAATCAACATTTCCTAAAGATAGAGCAACTCTTGGGCTTGGATTTCCCTAACATAAAGAAAAAGACATTAAATCAAGTTACGAAAAACATACCAGAGTTAAGACTAGACAAAGAAGGTGAGTTGCTCCAGTGATGTGTAGCAGATGGTGGAGGTGGGACATTTGCATATACACTTGGTACATGTGTGTGGAGACCTGACCCAACCCCAGAGGGTGTTGTCTGAGTCTTGAGGTTGGATGACGCATCTGAACGTTGGAGGTGCGGGGGAAGACTTGATGGTGCACCAAAGTGCACTGTCTGGGGTTCACTTGTTGTAAAGGATGTCACAACCTTCTGTCAAACAAAAAGATAGTGTTAAAGTTCTATCTTCATATCTAGACTGTTGTCACTAACGCACAAAATAAAAACACACAAAGTCTAGCAAGACACACACAAAAACAATTCTTGTATCATCAAACATGTGCACATAACTCCCCACCCCAAACTCACCTGTAAGACTGGCATATGTTTTGGAGCACTAGAGGATGAGTATGTGTGTGAAGAAGACTGGGAAGCACTGGTGTGGTTATTTGAAGGAGGAGGAGATGATTTGGGTGAGGTCTTTCCCTCTGTCACTCTGTTCACGTCCACAAGAGGCTCCGGCACAGTATTAAATATCTGGTAATAAGATCCATTGTTGTTAGTTGCAATGTACTTTTTTAAGTTCATTTATTATCATCTGGAATCTGTTTTAAATATCTCTATGATAACTTGAATAAACTTTCCTTTGATATGTACAAGCAATAACTATCCAATAATAATTTCATACATCCTCAACTCACAGCCTTTTAAATTTTCAATAATAATTACTGTGTAAAAATCCTATATATCCATTTTATTCAAACGAAAGAGATCTACAACTAGTAAACATCAGTTACCTTATCATAGTGCTCAATGAGGATTTCAACAACAATATTGCAGAACTTAATATCCATAATGGCAGCTACAGTCTCCTCTTCTGGTCGCAGTAAAGTTGGCCCAAAGCACACACCAAGATTACTAACAGTCATCAAATTCTTTTCGCTCTTACTGGACACACTGTAGAAAAAAGAGGTCAAATCAATTTTCTTTCTTGTAAAGTAATACCTAACAATACCAACATAGTATATTCATTAGGCTAAGAGATTTAAGTTACCAAGAACATATAAAAATGCAACACAAGTTAATCTATTCCACTGCTTACTTTACTAAATGCTGAACGAGGGTCTTCAGAACAGTGAAATTTGTCTTAGGCAGCTTATGAACCAAACTGTGGATCTCATTTACACGCTGAAACAACCGATCTTGCTCTGCAATAAAGAAAGGTGAGGTGAGTTCTTAGTCAAGTTTATCTATTTCACATAATAAACCTGAAATCTTATTTTTAATAACACTCTAAACGTTTATGTATATCTATAGCCATAGCCATACCTATAGGTATGGCTATAGGTGTCAAGACTCCCTAAAGCAAGTCAAGCAAGAAATTCTGCTTTACACAGTGGACTCCCTGGCCAAAGGGCTAGACGGTTGCCAGAAGTCACCAGATTGAGTATCTAGAACCGCCATTGTAGGGTTAAGTGTAAGTAATAATTCTTACATCAAATTCTGTCACAAACAACAAAGCAATCTCTACTGCTGCACAAAAATGCTTTCCTCCTATAACATATATTTGCATACTAATGCTCCAATAATTGCAAACTTACTTGCAGCAGCAATGAAGGCACTGTGAAGCTTGTATGTCATGAGGGGTTCCGGAAGATTACGGAAGTACTGCTTAATGGCAGAGGTGATGGTTTTCACCTCCCACTCAGCTGGGTCATCAAGCATCAGCTTCTCTGATTTTCGCCGGTCCAGGCCCAGTGCAAGAAGCTTTGATACTTTACTGGAGACGCCAACCAAGCGGTACAAACCTTGATCCTCCAGCCCTGTTCAAGAGATGCGACATGAGACTAAAACGTTCAACAATGATATAAAATCAAAATACCGACATATGCAACCTCAGTAAATAATAACACCACGAAAAAAGCCTGCCCTTCGTACCTCTACTTTCAAGCATTGCTATTGCTCGTGAAGTGAAATTCAATCCAACTTCATCTAGGGAGGTTTCTTCTTGTGATCCAACACCTCCACTTGGGTGCGCATACATCTGCAAAAAAAAAAAACAGAAAAAAAAACATAAATACTCATCCTAACAAGTCTATGTTCTCTGACATGATAAAATAAAAAATATTCTTTTACATTCTTGAGAAGAAAGGAATCAGTGCATATTTTATGTTCTGCTTTGTCATTCTAATAATGAGAATAACAGTAGGCTGACTTTCTCAAAACTTACAACATTATTAATGCTTAATAAATAATATCAAGTGTTACATTTTAAAATTCAAATCATGCAGTAAAGTTACAATATAGTGTATACTTTATGATGACTATTTTTTGCCAATCCTGAAATGACAGATCTTTCACTCTTAAAATCGTAAAAATATCAGTAGGATTTTAAAAATCCAAATAACCGAATGCTGGTGTTAAATGTACTGACTCTTTACACAAAAATAATGGAAAGCATAAAATTAGGCAGATGTTAAAAACTGAATCAATTCAATCCTTTTCACTTACAGGCTCTTTCCCATCCATGGCATCCATCCAGTGCTTGCGATCCTCCTCTGACAGTGCCTGCAGAGTGTACAGGACACCAGGCTTGTCTTGCGCCGTCAAGTCAAAGCAGAACCTCTTATCTATGCTGTCTGACATTCGACGGACACAAGACTTGAGTACTATGGTCTCCGTTGAAGTCTAGTGGAAGCAAGGTCAGTTTCAGAAGTCATCCTACAGATTTCTATTTTCTCTTGTATTTATTATGTTTTTAATTACCTTTTGTCTTGATTACAATATACTATTTAATATTTCACAACCCTTCACCAGGTACCATAGTGCAATTGCAAACACATCTGTATATCACACTCCAAAATATAGAAATCTTTGTAAAGGTAAAATTAAACTTACAAATTTGCACTGTTTAGGTTGAAAGGAAAGAGGAAATAAATCAGTTACATATACATATACATATACATATACATATACATATACATATACATATACATATACATATACATATACATATACATATACATATACATATACATATACATATACATATACATATACATATACATATACATATACATATACATATACATATACATATACATATACATATACATATACATATACATATACATATACATATACATATACATATACATATACATATACATATACATATACATATACATATACATATACATATACATATACATATACATATACATATACATATACATATACATATACATATACATATACATATACATATACATATACATATACATATACATATACATATACATATACATATACATATACATATACATATACATATACATATACATATACATATACATATACATATACATATACATATACATATACATATACATATACATATACATATACATATACATATACATATACATATACATATACATATATACAATATACTATTTAATATTTCACAACCCTTCACCAGGTACCATAGTGCAATTGCAAACACATCTGTATATCACACTCCAAAATATAGAAATCTTTGTAAAGGTAAAATTAAACTTACAAATTTGCACTGTTTAGGTTGAAAGGAAAGAGGAAATAAATCAGTTGGATTAACCAAATACAACCAATAATCACAGATAAAACTATAAGAAACAACATAGCTTAGTAAACAATATATCATTTACAGACACAACAGAAAAATAACCATAATTTCAGTTTTTCTTATAATCTAGGCTATCCTGCCCTTAAACCCCTTAGACAAGCTATTCTTATGATTTACAGAAACAGCTGCCCAACTAAGGAAACAGCCGAGACATCTACGTCACAGTTAACGTACAATTTTGTGTTGTATCTGGTTGTAGGGGATCATTGTGAAGACACGGTTCTCCTTCTGATAAAGGCAATAGTGCTTGGTCCAGGTCGTCCCAAATGCCTCTGTTATGTAAACAAATAAGACATTAGTGCTTCAGTCCTTAAGAAACATTTTTTCTTACCCTTTACCAGCCTGTTTTTTCTGCTCATCATTATCACCATGATGCTCTATTGCTCTAATCAGTCACATCATCAATCATTACTCTTGAAATAACAACATCAAACTCTCTGTGCCTTAAGTAAAGCTGAATTTTGCAAACAGTTATTTGTATGTTTTGATCCAAGTAAAGTCTGACTCATAAAGAAGCTCAATGTTCCCCCATGTTTTCAACATATAAGCTCTGGCATAGAATTTTTTTTTGTTTTCCTGTATCTGTTTTTTTTTCTCTAATCTTAATATTGACCCTAGTTCTGTTCCACACTCTTCTATCCTTAGGGAATGACTATTTGGAATATTTTGTAAATCATTCTTCCATCTCCTGGACATAAGTATTAAATCACATCACATATACAAATTTGAACTACATAGTCAACTATAATATACCCATATGCTTAGATATGGATATAGAAATAGACACTGATATACATAGAAATATAAATATATATTTTCATTCATTTATTCATAAATACATATATGCATGTATACATACATACTTGCATATACATACACACATTCATGCTTGTACATACATACGTACATACATATATATAAATGTACATATATACATATATATACATGCATATACATATACATATACATATACATATACATATACATATACATATACATATACACATAAACATACGCACATTTACACATACACACATACATATACCCACATATATTTACATACACATATATGCATATACATAATTTATACATATACATACATACATACATACATATATATATATATATATATATATATATATATATATATATATATATATATATATATATATATATATATATATATAAACACACACACACACACACACATATACATACATATAGATGTACAAATATATACATACATATACATATTCAAATACATAGATGTAGACACACATAGACATAAACACAGACATATATACATAAACATACATATGCATGGACCTTTATACATATATATACAGATAAATACATATACACAAACATACATAAAAATATATATACAGAGACATGTGTATGAACATATGCATACATATATATACATATACACATACATACACAAGAATATATATACATCAGATGCATATATATACATACATACAACATACATATAAATATACATATATACATACATACATATGCATACACACACATACACACACACACATATACATGTATGTATATGTCTAAGTAAATCCTTACATATACACATGCACCCATAGGCAAACACAACCACACACACATACATACACACCCGTCACATGCACCCCCCCCCCACATCTGCTCCTTTACTTGACTGTTGAAATGCTATGCCAGATTATACCAACTAGACAGTAACTTCCAATGTTTCTCTATTAAGTAGTACCAAAGGAAAATAAAGGTTATCTAAATCGAAAATTACAAGATTTAAAATAAAAAATAAATGCTGCCATATTCGACGCATTCATGACCAAGCCATGCTCTCCTGACACAACAACCGTCAAGTGCAAGTTATCCACACACACTTCCTCCTCTATTTCTAAGGTAAAAGAGAAAAGAAAAAGAAAAAAAGGAACGAAACACTGATATCATGTTACAGGTAAACATAAAAACACAAACAGAAGTCAATGCACTTGTATAGATCTAAATAAATTGAAAAACAAACAGATATGGTAAGCATTAAATGGCTCAAGCTAAAAGCATGACATTCATTAAAAAAAAAAAGTCTTTTCATGTAATCCAAGTGTCAAGATGAAAGATATTTTATAAAGTTTATAAAGAAGTGAGGAAAGTCAGTATAATGGTAATAAGTTTCATAAGGTATCTTATAAATCTGAACTGCTTTGAAAGATACACATAATGGATTTTTTTCTTTTAACATCAAATCTTAATTCTCTCTTCCTCAATCTTGGCATGGATGTAAAATATCAAGTTTCAAAATCCTAATGGAGAAATAAAGAACGAGCAGTCAGTATAATTCAGAACAAATAAAGATAAATTTTGGAAACATGAAGCAATGGGCAAGCAAAAAAAAAAAACAGTACGAGAATACTGTCTTCTCACAGTACAAAGGACATCCCTATTTCTTGGATGCTGATATCATTCAAAAGTAGTTTAACCCACTTAAGCCAGGAGTGCATGTATATGTGCATTGTCCGCCATGGTTTTGTTTTACTAACTTCACTTACACGCATATGGTTTGAGAAATATTTACTCATTAAGAAGCCATTGATGACCTCCCCTTTTTACCCTATTCCTTGATTTTTTAGGAAGCTTTCTAAATCTTGTCACTGTTACTATTGTCAATATTTATCAAACTAACAAAACTAACAGCAGTTATAATAGTAGTGTTAATAACAATAATAACAGTAATAATAATTAATTTCTCTTCTAACTAAAATTCAAGGAATGGGGTAAACACGTGACATTAGGTAGGCCTATTTATTGACTATTTGGTGAATAAGCAATTGTGAAGTCATTTAAGTTTAAATAAAATCAATAAAACAAATCTACAGTGGTATGCTAATGTACATAGCACCAAAGGGTTAATCAAAATGCAGTTTTAGAAAAAAAAAATATTTAAATATAAGAAAGCACTATTTAAATAGCAAGATGAAAACTAAAACTATTTCTTACTTTGAAAAACAAACAAAGGAAAAGATGCAGGTGAAGGTTTGACGTCATCTGGGATGTTGGGAGAGGAAATTCATTGAGAAAAAAGTAAACTGTTTTTGAATGTACATTTTCTTTGATGGTAAAAAAAAAAAAAGAAAAAAAAAAAAGGCAATAGCAATTGTATCTCTTTACTCAATTCTGGGATATACTTGATGATAGTTATCAATTTCAATCTAAAAAAAAAAATAATAAAAAAAAATAAAAATGCAAAATTTCCATGAATAAAAATCTAATCAGTGTCAATCCAGTATTTGCAAAAATTGTGAATCAACAATAAAAAATAGAAATAACAGAAAACAAATCAAATCTTCAAACAGAACTGGGTCGGGGATACCAAAATAAATAATACATTAGTGACTGTGAAGAAGCTTGTGTACAAACATGTGGCTTTCAGTTTAAAGGTTTAGGCAGATTTGAAAGGTATGATTTCATTATGAGAAATAGCAAGAGAGTAAAACCCCATATGTCCTGTTGAATCTTGTAAATGAATTGGCCAAAATTCGAAATTTGAAAACTGTACAATCTGTGAAAAGTGGAACTATATACACGGATAAAGGGTGCCAAAGCATTATATCACAGGGAAGCAAAGATTTACGAAGACCTTTACATACAAATCTCACACAATCAAGATATCAATTTGAATTACAATTAATTTCTGAAGAAAATCAGTCATTCCTTAAGAGAGTTGAGTGTTCTTTGACATAGAGGATATATCTTTAATCCCAATACAATATATATCTATTTAATACCAACACACTGTGTTAATATTAGTACTACAATTATGCACTGAATTTGCCTAATATGTTCAGCCTTGTGACATATGACCATGGCTGCATTCAGATCATAAAATCAATGCAACTTAAGGAACCAAGAGTAATAATGTGAACAAAAATAAAATAGGCAAGAAATGAGAATAATCTTTTTCTTTTCTAGCCCACTAACTTAGGCTATATTCCCCATATCAATAATAACTCATAATAACTAATACAAAGAGAATAATAAAAATCAAAATATAACACATAGGAGTACTCTTCTGAAATCATAATTCAGAACAAATAACGTAAAACCAGGCAACAATTACCATCAACCATTTGCAACTTACTTTTCTCCATCAGGAAGAGATATCCTTGTCGAGTGTACATTTTGTCCATGTTGCCTGGATCCATTGATTTCTGCAGGGATTGCAATATCATTAGAGGTCAGAATTAAAGATGAATCAGTTAAAAGTCAACCAATCATCAGTCTTACTAATTCTGAGGGATACTTCCCTTTAAAAAAAAAAAAACTTTCATACAGGAAAACATAATGCAAAATGCAGTATTAAAAGTAAAGCCCTACATTTCTATCAAAAATAAGTACCTGAAATAAAATTAGTGAAAAATATGTAACAATAATAATGAATAAAATATAAATGGCCTATTACTACCTTAGTAGAAGGTGCATCTGTCTTTCTCTTCTGACTACCCTTTGCCTATCTACAAATTCTTGTGGAAGTTATTAGCATATCTTCTGACAGCTGATAAACCCATCAGTTTTAAGTAGAATTAAAGGTCACACTAGTATGAGTAACAATAGATTATATTTGTTAATGTTCTAAAGTATAAATGAAGAGATAACCTCTTTCCTAACTAAATAAGTATTACACTACTGTTTTACTCAATCTACCTACAAAAAAGCTTGTGTATCATGCAAATATTTGCAAAAATAAAAAAAAATCACAAAAGTGTAAAAAAATTTGTTTTCTGATTTTGTGAAAAAAAATATTTTTCTGTCATTAATTAAATGTTACAACTAAACCTGGGTACCTAGCAGTAGAATAGTCTGAAACCATCTCTGAATAATATAAATGATAAATCTAAGAGATAAAATCCCTTGTGGAACTTCTTAGGGAAAGTTCTGGCCATACAGGAATAGACAGGGGAAGAAGACTGACTGGCAGCACGGCAAAACAACACTGTCAAAATCAACATGTAAATTAGTGCAGGAGAGGCTCACATATAGAGACACAAGGAGACAATAATCAAAATTACATCAAATCATGAACCCTTACATTAGAATATTTACCCTCACCCAACATAAAATAAAACTTAAGTAGTTGCTCCACGAATATATAAAAAAAAAACTGCCCATATATATTCTTCACTTTTAAGGGTAAAACATAATATACTTGAAGTTATGAGGAGACTTTTAATCACTGAACATAACATCATCAAGGAAAATGACAAGATTATTTGAAAATTCACCAAGAGGAGATAGTAAAGCCATCCTTTATCCCAGTGTTATGAACTTAAGTGTAAAGGTGGTTTGTAATATCATTAGTTATTAAACAAGAAATATTGCACTACACCACTAATATCTGTAATGGTTAACTGACATCTACCCATTCTAAACTTAATGATTATTTCTAAAGAGGCACTATTAAAGGGTGGCACTGATAAAAAAAAGAGAGTAGTGCTCCAGAGCCATACTGCTGGAAGAAACTTTCCACTGCAGTAAAACAAAACTGTTAATATAAGTTATTTTGGGCATGCATTTAAAACCTAAAAAAATCATAATAATCAGACCAAAAAAAAAGGTTTCATTCTTTAAAGCTTTGAGAATCTAAGAGATTTAACATCAATCAAGTGTACCACAGGAAACAGGTGAAGACGCATGTTCTGTTCACCATTAGCGATGCATACAGGATGACCTACAAAAGAACACATGCTTTTTACCTGAAAAACAAGCTGGAAAGGGGGCAAGACCATTAATCAAATAATGCAGTTGATACTACTATATTTAAAAAGCACTAATGATCCTTGATCAAAAGTAACCTCATATAAACAGATCAGCAACCAAAGGTAAACTAAAGTTAGGATTAAACTTTTAAGGTTTAATTATAAGTAAAAAAAATCTAAGATTAATCAATATTAGACAAAATAAATATGTTAAACTCTGCTATGAACAAACAAAATATCAGACCAAAACCACTACTAATACAAGACCGCTCAATGCAATTACCATACAACAATAACAGTAAAATACACAGGCTACATAGCAACAAGCCCCACTGATACCTTGCCACACACTCTGGCTGGCACATCAACTCAGCATGCGTTCATCTGGATCTCATTGATTCCTTGATAATTTTCTCATGATAATTTGACAATAAATAATAGTCTTTGATAATAAATAATTCTATGTATATGAAATAATCCACTCTTGTTTTCACTGATATATTTATCTATGGCTCTCATGCTGCTACCAAATATTAGTATTTATATGTGATAAGACTATACATAATTCACTAAATTGTCTTTTTCAGCATATAGCCATAGAAATATCAAAACAAGAAGGCAGCTGATAAAAGGATATATACATCCGTTCTCATTTCTTTAATGAAAACATATAAACTGATAAAGACATTTTAAAAAGTAATTCCATAATATGACAAAAAATTTTATCTAGAAATGCATCACGCAAATTCTTCATAAAAAAAAAAACAATTTGCTTATTTTACACATCATAATCCCAGGAACAGAGTGTGTGCTTAGGCAGGTGTGAGTTAGTGAGAAGCAGCGGAGACACATTACCGTCTTACGCACCTCCAGCATCTTGTTCTTCAGGGACACTGACTCTTGGCGGGTTGCTAAGAAGTTCTCTCGGGTCTGAAGAGTGGAAGTTATATCCACAGGCAGGTCGGTATAGAATGGCATAAAAAGGAATATGAGTTTTACATTTCATTGTCGTGCTTGGTTTCATAAAAAAATTTCCAGTAATACATGTGAAACTTAAAGAAGATTGTTAAATATCCCACCATGTTCTACATTCAAATTCATACATAATTATAGCAATATTTCATAATTAAAACTATTTTTAAAAATTTTGAACACTTTTCAAGACTGACCCTTTGTACTCGAACTTGTAGATCACGCATGTAAGGGCTACAGTCATTGAACACTTCGTGGCCTTGATGATAGAATGTCAACCAACCATACATGTAACTCAATAACTGTGGGGAGAGTGAACAAGTGAACAAATAAATCAATGAAGGAATGGCTGCAAAAAGAAATAATTCCACCAGTAATAATTTGATGAATAACTTACTTCAAAGTCAGAGAGAAAAGAATGGTTCCTAAACATTGAAATACCTAAAAATGCACTCTAATTATCACAAGAATAAATTAGTCAAACAAAAAATGCAACAAAAAATACAGGAGTGAAAAAAGATTACCGTTTCCACAAACTCAAACTTCTTCCTCTCCTGGACCTCCTGCAGCAGAAATACGTAGTCAAGTGAGGCGTGCACAAAGTGCCGCTGTTCCATCTCCACTGATGCATCAGCCTGCAAAGGAAAATAATTGTTGTAGTTGTGATGAAGTACAATATCAAAGAAAACAAAAAAAAAAGTCAGTCTTTGGATAAATGTTTTCTTATCAATACAGTAAATGTTATATTAAAAACAGTTTCCTTATGGGATTACTAGTTTCTCATAATCCTTTTGGAAATCAAGACAAAATTATTGAAAATAAGTATCTACTATAGTGAAAAAATATTAGCTAAAACAGAGGGTAATAATAATGAGCAACTAGCATCTAAAGTAACCTATCCTCAAAGAAGAGTTTTAACAAACAATGATACAGTACCTCACATCATATGTGAGATATTCTAGAAAAAATATGCATAAAACTTGAAACAGATTCATCCCTTTTAATCAAGCATCCAAGGTTTGAACTATGTTCACACGCATGGAAAGTGTTATACTGTGCAGTACTGAAAAAAGGGTAACACTTCCAAGTCTTCAACACAAATCCCTTTGCTTGCTTTTTAAAAGTAAAGGTATTTTCAGCCCTTTACTTGAATAGTGTAAAACATGTTGGTAAGTCTGGATATACAAACAACAGTCAGTCATTGATGGAACCCCATGTAGGTGATTTTATTAGCATGGTTCTAATTACAGTAATAATAACAGTATACAAAGTTGATTTGTTATGTAAGGTTACCGACCATAATGACATCATAAAAAGTATTGCTGGTAGCAGTGTGGGTGCTAATAACCCATAAGGTGGTAACTCCGTATTATACCATAAGTTGAAGGTGAGCTTCCTCATACTTGAGTAACAATGAAAACTGTGAATAACGATAAAGCCGTTAACTGAACAAATCAGAACGCTTTTGATATAAGAAGTAGTATTTGTCAGAACAGTCTTTCGACTCCACTGATAATCCCGACGGTAGTTGAACTGCGTGAGGCGCAAACGGGGAAGGGGCGCCGTTTCAGTAGCAGCGGAGGCAGCGAGAACTGGAAAAACACCTGAACTGAAAGCATGCTGCGGCCTCTTTTCTCTCGCCGGGATTTCCTCTTTGTTGGTCTCGGCCGCGGGGGAGAAGGCCCGTCTTTCTCTCCATGTTGCCAAAGCCAACTCGCCCCCTTTCTTCCTCCGCCCGGACGAGCCCGCTTCTCATCAACGCCCACCCTCTCGTCAACTTCATTCCTCTCGCTTCCCCTTTCTTCTCGGCATCTTCAAGGTACTTTTCCCCCGAAACCATACCGAGCGCCCCACGCCCGTTCCCCGCCCCTGGACGTTCCGGCTGTCGTAAGAAACACTTCCCAGAAGATATTTAATTAGGTAAAACGATATCATTGGCCGTGGCATAGCATCTAAACCCCTAAAAATATATAAGCATTAGCGCTTTACGACACATTTGGCCCTGCAATAGAAACACCGTAAAAGTTCCCTAGAGTGGCATCCCTGCGCACTACCCCCTCCCCCCGAAGAGAACTAACATTTCCTCGCGAACTCCAGCAGAAGTTAGGAAAAGGTGCAGGCATTAAATTGCATTTATTTGTTTTAGTGACATGAGGCACTAGCTCTGTTTCGTTTTTTCTACCAAATAACTCATTCCTACATAAAATACAAATCACCCTCTTCATCTTTTCATTTATCAACCTTTTCCAACATTTCAATTATCTTCAGTGATTTACCCTTTTATCTTTTTTTTTCATTTCTTACAATACATATACATGATTTTCTATACTTCTAAATCCAGTTACAAACTTATATACACATATCTGAAATATCACATCCGTTGATTAAGTGGCACATTAAACAAGTTTACCGAGAATGCCTCCGCTGCGGAAAGCGACAAAACTACAGTGAGCTTTCTTTCGAAGGAGAGGAAACTCTTGAAGTGGAGATTCAACGCCAGTCTGTCTGTCTAAGTCTCAATCAGTTCGTCAGTCCAATCATTTTCCTACCTCACAAAATAATAGGGACACTCACACTCACACTCACACTCACACTCACACTCACACTCACACTCACACACTCACACTCACACTCACACTCACACTCACACTCACACTCACACTCACACTCACACTCACACTCACACTCACACTCACACTCACACTCACACTCACACTCTCACTCTCACTCTCACTCTCACTCACACTCACACTCACACTCTTACTCTTATTCTTACTCATTATCATTCTCTTCTCCATCTCCCTCCCTCCCACACTTCCATTTCCACCTCCACTACTTCCTCTCCCTCGTCCTCTTCTCTCCCCTCCTCTTTCCCATTCTTCCCTCTGTAACTCTCTGTAACGACCTCAAAGTTAATGACCTTCCAGCCACCGGTATCGCGGTACAGTCCGACCTTTATCGGCATCTTCGATCAAGCATCTCCCCCTCCCCCACCCCATCCTAACCCACCCTTCTCCCTTACCCACCCCTACCCCCACTCTCCTCCCTTACCTACCCCCACCTCCACCCTTCTTCTTCACCCCCACCTTCACCCTTACCCACCAACACCACCCCTCTCCCTTACCCTCCCCCACCCCCACCCTCCTCCCTTACTCACCCCCACTTTCCTCCCTTACCCACCCCATCCTCCTCCCTTACCCACCCCATCCTCCTCCCTTACCCTCCACCCCTTCCTCCCTTACCCACCCCCACCCCACACTCCTACTCCTCCCTTACCCACTCCGAATCATCGGAACTACACCGGCCCTCGCCACCGGCCCTCACTAAGCCCTTCCCCCCCCAGCCTGTCTATGGCTTCCAGACCTCCTCCGCCTCTTGCCTCTTACCTCTCTCTCTCTCGTCCCTCCCCCTCTCCCTCCCCCCTCTCCCTCCCCCCTCTCCCTACCCCCTCTCCCTACCCCCTACTGATGCTCCTCTGGTCACCCTTACTACCCTCTATAAAAGCAGGAACAAAATGTCAACCCGCAGTAAAACAGCAATAATGCAACGATGACCGCTAGTTTGCTTCGTCCCTCGTTGCAAGGTGGAGGGCGAGAGGGGAAAGGGCAGAGGTGGAGGACGAGGGGGAAGGGTGGGGGATGGGTGGAGGACGAAGGGTTAGGGAATGAGGGAGTGAGGGAGTGAGGGAGGGAGAGGAGGAAATAGAGAGAGAGAGAGAGAGAGAGAGAGAGAGAGAGAGAGAGAGAGAGAGAGAGAGAGAGAGAGAGAGAGAGAGAGAGAGAGAGAGAGAGAGATGGGGAGGGGGGAGAAATGAGGGGAGAGGAGAGGAGAAAGTAACTAGGAAGACATCTCGAAAGCCTTAAGACAATACGAAGGACTTATCACTGAGTCTTGAAAACTCGAGTGATCTAACGAAAAAAATGGAGAATCCGATGCTTTACCTGCCAGGGATGAGATGCAGGGAGGGAGAGGGAGAAGGAGGGGGTGAGGGAGAGGGAGAGGGAGAGGGAGAGGGAGAGGGAGAAGGAGAAGGAGAAGGAGAAGGAGAAGGAGAAGGAGAAGGAGAAGGAGAAGGAGAAGAAGGAGAAGGAGAAGGAGAAGGAGAAGGAGAAGGAGAAGGAGAAGAAGGAGAAGGAGAAGGAGAGGGAGAGGGAGCAGAAAGAGGAGAAGGAGAAGGAGAAGGAGATGGAGAGGGAGAAGGAGCAGAAGGAGAGGGAGAAGGAGAGGGAGGAGGGTGAGGGAGGGAGAGGGAGAGGGAGAGGGAGAGGGAGACTAAGAGGGAGAGCGAGAAGGAGAAAGATAAATTCTGACATGATTCCCCCGAGGCGAGCAGGGAAGGCGGAGAGTGCGGAGGCCTAGCGTTGTTTTGGACGGGTTGTCATGGCCACCTCCGGGACGGCGCGGCGGCGCTCCTGCCGTCCCCCCTTTTGCCGAGATTATCAATTTCCATGGCCACCCAAGGGTAAACGTATTGGAAGAGGGCGAGAGGGGGGGATGGGAAGTAGAGACGGACAGCCAAGTACGGGATGCGACCGACAGCACCCAGCATTCTCTCCCAATCAATCTTACCCTCTAATCAATGACTCACGTGCTTCAGAGTGCTTTATTAGCGCTGTTTTACACAACCCCGCCCCTCGTTAAAATTATCTCGTCCTTCCCACGCCGTTCTTCGTTAATCACGTTAATGATATCTCTTGCGCCTTGGCACTCCATTACTTATTTTTCCCCATTAACCTTTATTCTACTCTTGCTGCATCGTGTGTCTTCCCTCGTTACCGGTGCCGCGTGGCCAGTTCGTCTCCATGCTGCCGCCCAGCATTTTATGGTTTATTTTCAACATGGCACAACTCGCCCACCTTAAATCCATGTTACTTACAAAGCACATTTTCGCATAATAGTAGTCGTTGCAGTTTCACCAAAACACCGTGTTCTCGGGCCACAATTATGGGCGACGAAGAGCCACGACCGGCCCTGGAGTGAGTGTGCACAGTGTGCGTCTCCGCCCACGCACACATAACCTTCCTTCCATCCAGACGACCCTCCCGCCTGTCCAGCACTCCCTAATCCGACCACACCCGATCTCTTCCATCTTTTCCTCTTCTTCTTATCTTATTCCCGTTCTTATTCCCGTAATATTCAATTCCAGGTACATCATAATGATCGTCCTCGCCATTACTTTACTTTCCTTTTTTTCCCTTAAGCCCATTTAACGTTCCTTCCCTCTATTCCCTAAATCTCTCACCTTCCTTGCCCTTCCTCAACCCCTGAGCCAGCTCCGCCCGGCCCTCGCCCGCGCCGCCCCCTCAAATTACCATCTAATCTGCATGTTCATTTCCTCTCGTGACAACTTCTAGGTTAATGGAATTATTGATCATTGCTTAATAGCCTCTGCGGCAGCCGCGATTGCTGAGGCCCCATTAGGCCAACGCCGCATGTTCAGTTTTAAAGCAGCCATTAGCCATACGGCCTATCATCAAATGGCCATGTTGCAGGCACACGAATGCGAATGGGAACTTGACTATCAATCAAATGGCTCGCTATCAGGTCGCCCCCTTCATGCCAGGGCCCATAGCACGGCCAAAATGACATCTGCCATCGAAGAGCGTGGCAAGTCTAAGGCCTCCCGCGCCGGGTT